TGTGTGTGTGTGTGTGTGTGTGTGTGTGTGTGTGTGTGTGTGTGTGTGTGTGTGTGTGTGTGTGTGTGTGTGTGTGTGTGTGTGTGTGTGTGTGTGTGTACATACACAGTTCACTAATTGAAACACATTATATGTAATTTTAATCCCAACAGAAATAATGGCTCGTAAACATCCTTCTATTTCGTGAAATAGAAGGATGTTTTACAGATAATAAAGAAATATGTGCTTAATGAAAGCTAGAAATGTGCTTTTAATCTGTTAAATGAGCCTCATTAGAGCACTTTTTTTTGTTTCTACATTTTTTATAATTTATTTAATATGATGTCTAGTAATATGTGCATTTCTGTACATATAGCCTCATTAGTCAATTTTAGAGTTTAGTATTTCAGCTGACATGTGTCTCATACTTAAACAACTTCTTTTTAAACTCTTGGAAACATTTGATACTCTAATGTGGTTGAAGCACAACAACAAAAAAAACTACTGGGAAAACTTCCATGCAGGACAAAATGTAGGTTCTGTTTATTAATTTGCAAGAATCATCTGGTTCTTACCTAAATACTGGAGAATGTTGTTACCTGTCCTTATAAACTAATTGTTTTAAAAAAAAAATCAATCAATGAAATTTATTTAGCACATTTCAAACATTACATCATAAAAACAAAGTCATAGAACACACAGTCAACAATTTAAACATTACATTTTTCATTACACATCAAAATGCTGGTTAGTGTTTCATTTATTATAGTTCCAAAGCAACTCCAAACAGCTGCGTTCTTAGTCTCGATTTAGAGGAACTCAGTGTTTTGACTGTTTTACAATTTTCTCGACGTTTGCTCCAGATTTGTGGTGGATAGAAGCTGAATGTTGCTTCTCCTCGTTTGGTATATATAAAGTATTTTCTATTCTATTCTATCATGTTGTGGGACTTCATTTCGCCATTAACAGTGAGACGGTATTAGATGGTTGAACTTAATGCAGCACTCCTGGCAGAAACCTTGTTGAAGAAAAGGAAATGTTGGAGAACAAATCACATTCATTGGTTCGAATGACCCAGTCCAGACACAAATCCAGTTGAAAATTGATGTTCAGATGCTCTTCATCCAACCCAAATGAGTTTGAGGGATATTTTTCATAAATGTAATGATAAAGTTCAAGAACTGTTCAATGTTTTTTGCAGGCCCTGTGTCTATTGTTGATTTAAAAAAGGCCTATGTCAGTGAAATACTAAAACCAAAATACTCTTTCAATTTAAACTTTGTTTGTTTTGTTTGGAAGGGGTTATTGGTCAGCCTCATGTTGATCCAGGATGGATTTACAGAGTGAACTTCTGTTCTTCCAAAATAGTGCACTCACAATTTCAGAATACTAAAATGTGCAAATCCCCTGCACAGTTGCACAGAAAATTGTATGTTTTAATAAGCAACAACGTTTTCCGTGCAACCACATGAATGTTTTGACATTCATAAATAATTATTCACTTTGGAATTATGTAGTATGCATCATGTTGGATTTTATAACCGTATAGTTTGTTCACATCCACTCAACCACTCGTATCGTTACAAAGTAAATTGTGGATATATTAAATGTGTTTCTGACTTGTGTAGCGATACGCCGGCATGGCCTGTAAATATTTATGAGCTCTGTCCACGTCTCTGTAGGTGTATGCCTAATCACTGTGAACACGGAGGCAGGTGTAAACAGACATGGGACAGTTTTAGTTGTAACTGTGACGGAACAGGATACAGTGGAGCAACCTGCCACACATGTAAGTAATGTAAAGTTACACCTCTGTGTCTGTCTTTTTGTCTTTCTCCATGATATTATGCGCTATGCGTGTGCATTTGACTTTTTTTTCCTTCCATTTGTGTTTGAGTGATTAAGCTGTCTCCCAGTTCTCAGCACAGAGACCGATGAACTTTTTGAAGTGTTTCGATGCCAAGCTTGTCCAACTGCACTGTGTTTTGTTCCCGTTAGAGAAAAACGAATCTGACTCTCAAAGCCACAGCACACAAAGCAAGCAGAATCAGAAAGAGCATTTCAGAAGCTTTGAATTTTGAAAATGTCACTCTTTCTCCCATAAGCCACAGATGTTGTTCTCTTTTAAAGGGCAAGAGAGAAAAGTTGAGCATCCATTTGAGCTAAAACGGCAGATAATATAAAATCTCAAAAGCTTGAGCAGGGAAATAAAGTGGAGAACTTATTCTTCTGAATGTTAGATTGTTCCCAGACTGATGAGTTGGAATCAAATCAGATAGCACTTTATCAAAAGATATTTGAAAATAACTGAAGTGCATTAAAAAGATAAATGTTGGCAAGCATTTTAGTCCTTGTACGTTTTGGTTGTTCAGCAGCTGTACATTTCAGTTTATTGCATTCAGTGTGTCGTTTTCATGATGTGAAAATTAAAGCTGTATGATGCAAACTGCAATCTAAATTTAGCTCATGTTCAAATTATCATTAAAGAAAGATGTAATCTGTACTGTTGTCAGTATTTCTATTAAAAAGCCAGAAGCAAAACAGACTAGAATATCGGCATAAAACTATAAGGTTGTAGGTTAAATGTTTTGGTTCAGCCAATAAGATGTGGGCAGGCAGAAAGAATGAATAATTTTCTTCCTTTCCCTCAAAGCAACCACTTGGGCACAGGACTCCAAATATTTGCCTCAGTGCAGCTGGTTATTGGTTGAGATGGTTGTAGGTGTTTCATTTTACTGTGAAACAGCACATTGCTTTGAAATGTCACTGCAGTCCTTGAGCAAGAAAGAATGATAGCCAGGGAGAGCAGCAGAGCTCCAGAGTGTTCAGTGTTAGGCACTGTTCAACATTCAGTTTCTGGAAATGGAAGCAGGTGTCAGATTTCCTGCAGCTTGGTTTTTGCCATTTGGTTAATCTTTTGCCCACTAAGTTATGAAGGACTTAGATTAATAGAAAAAAAAGTTAATGGAGTTACTGATGAGAATGCTGCTATTGGGTATTATTTCAAATCCATTTGTAGAAACAGCAATAGATATTTTGTGATTTACCTTATATTGTTAGCATCAGATATATTTTAAGTGTTGGCTGTGATCTGTAATGGTCCATGCTAAAGTTCAAAAAGAACAAGAAAGATGTTTGTTTGTTTTTTTCTTTTTTAATTTTGAGTTCCACGCCTCATGTTCATATATGTTTAAAATGGCAAAAATCTAAAATAGCACAATCCATTGGATTGAAAATAATAAAAAAAAATAGTGGTTAAATTGAACCAAATAAAATAAAATGTACTAAAAAATTGATCAACAGAATAATAAATAAAGATAGTCATAGACTAAAAAGCAAATTAGACATACTGAACTTCAAAAAGATAGCATGGTTAAAAATATACATATTTAATTTGCTGCCCTCAGGTTTAGAGGAGGACCGATCCTGAAGTGAGGACTGTAATCAGAGAACGATGATTACAGTCTTTTTGAGTTAAAAGACATAGATTGGACTAATGCCTACCAATCTCAAAGACTGTACAGCTCTGAAACATATCACATAATAATCAGACAGTGTGAATTCAGCTTTGAAAATAAATAAAAGCATCATTTATAAATCAGATTCTAGAACACACTGATGGCCCATTCAGAAACAAAAAAATAAATATGTGGTGTGAACTTGCTTCCTACTCTCTATCAGCATTCTTGCAGCTTAAATATATCACTATAGTGAAACTATGGACTAGAAAGCAGTGCATGTCAGTAATCAATTTGGCATGTTATAAAACAGTGTCTTAGATTTTCTGCATTGGAGTGAGGGAACAACACAAACTCTGGTCACGAGACGCAAAACATTCTGGTTTTGATCAAACACCTAGATATTGTATCTGTTCTAAATTGTTGATAGTAAGGAACCGCAGTTTAAGCTGTTAGTGCTCCTTTACGGACTTGGTCCCATGCGATCACCCTTGATTTTAAACATTTTTTTACCAGAGCAAAAAACATGTTCATTATTTTGTTTCTTCAGTTCTTTATCTAGAGGTATTTCTGAGACACTGTCATGTACCAGCCTTTGAGCAATAACTTTCAACTACAGTAGCAACTTCAAAGAGTTTTTCGCCCCTTTTGAGATAGCTCAGCGGGATAACATCTGGACTTCCAAACTTGCTTCCAAACAAGGAACTACTTCTCCAAATCCCTGTGAAAAAAAAAGAAGTGAAATATTGTAGACAAAAACATCAATACTCCAGTAGTCAAAAACTAAAATAAATGAGCAGAAAGGAGTGAAAGAAGTGGCAGGCTGTGCACATGAGAAGACCCAATAAGAAATGCATGCCAAGCTAACAGAAGGCAACCACTTAAAAAAAAGTTCTTGTTAAGTTTCTGAGCAGTCAATATGAATCAAAAAAGTTTCACTCTTAAAATGATTTTTCTCTCTCTCTCTCTCTGGACTGCCATAGCCTTCCTCAGTGAAGATCAACACAAAACTTGCATCGCTATGTTGTCAGCTATCTTGTTAGAAAGTGGAACAAGACACCGGTTCTTGACAGGCACTGAAGAGAAATGATAGAGAAGCAGCAACATAAATTACCTGCACACCAAGAGGAGAGAGTAAAGACCCAAGTTTATTCTCCTTTAGACATATCAATTCGTCTTTCGACCAACATAGAACTAAAAGAACTTGACACATTCCACGTTTTAATGATAGAAGAGCATTAATTGATGCCTGCAAAAGAAATTTGTTGACTTTGCACACTAACTGGAACTATTAATTTTTTCTTTTTATTGGGGTTGAAAAAAAAACAATAATAAAATAACACAACCTTCCCTCTTATAAGTTGATGTCAGCAACCGTGCCGCTTTGAGATATTGTTACAAAACGTCCAAAGTCGTATCACAACACGACTTGATGGATTTCTTTTAATGTTGGCATGAACAATCAAAAAATTGTGGGTTTTAATATATAAAATAATCTCTTTTCACTTTTAGGGTTCATGTTTTCCGTTTCTGTTTTTCTGTTGCTGCAGCCGTCCACGAGCCTTCATGTGAGGCTTACAAACACCTGGGTTGGTCGTCTGACACCTACTGGATTGACCCCGACGGTAGCGGACCCCTCGGCCCCTTCAAAGTAAACTGCAACATGACAGGTGGGTATGACGTTGGCTTCAGCAAATTCTCTACGTTTACATGTGCTGTTTTTCTGCTCCCAAACTCTTCCTAGTCACATTGACCCAAGAAGGAAGAAAACTCTGCAGCCCTATTTATTCTTCACCTCAAACAGCGACAGGCTTAACCTGCCAAACCTGGGGTTTCCATGGCAACACACACACACACACACACACACACAGATTCTGGCATGTAAGGAGCATTAACCACAGATGCTCTTAAACATATGTACACCAACGCAGACACCACAAACACACATGAAACAAAGCTTTTGAGCAAATCTGAGAGGACTCAAACAGCCCAAGTGACACTTTTGGCACACTGCCACCCGTATGCACACTTTCATGAGCACGCGCACACATGACTGAATACAGAGATACTCTGGAACAGCAGAGCATGCAGGCAGAGCAAAGGCAAGACTTTTGATGAAATGTCACTGCACCCCACTGGTTGGCCCCTTAGTCATGCCGAAAAAGCACAACTCACGCACACACACACACATACATCCCAGAAAAGTTTAAATGTTAAGAGTTTTTCTTTCTCGCACAAATGTGCACCTCTTAGAGACCTGAAGCCTATACTGGCACATTTCTTGAATGACCAGGACAATATTGGAGTGAGTGATTCAGACCCTAGCAGCATGCAAGAATAACCGCAGTGTCAAGCGTAATTGTGTTTCTTTGTTTTTAGTGCGTTTAAATTACTCAATCAGCATGTAACCAGATAAAATTGAATAAATTCATCATATTGGTCGTGTGCTCTGATTTATGATTCAGTGTTGTGTTTTTGCATTTGCGTACGAGAAGAAGACAAAGTGTGGACAACTGTTAGGAACAACCTGCCACCCAGAATATCAATCACCGGCTCGAGCAGAGAGAGACGAACTGTCCTCCAAGTCAACTACAGTTCCTCTATGGATCAGGTAACAAACACACACAGACAGGAGTCTGTAATCCCACAACGTTTTGGGTTGCCAATGGGAATACAACTATAGAATATAATAATACTGAGCACTCTATTGTAAGAAATCTTGATTATTTGAATAATCAAATACCCATTCAGAACTCAAATTACGTCTCAAGCCAATTCAGTAATGAGTTCTGTGTAAATATAAATGAGAAACTTGTTCCTGAACGTTTTGTTTTAATGATCAAACTGTCACCTTGGTCTTGATAAGCTGTGCAGAGATGACCTGTCAGGTTGTCTGCAGTAGGACGTCAAAAGTTTCACTTTATTTTCAGGAAGTTTTGGGGTCTCTTAACAGCTACGTAGATAGAAAATGAAACATGTTCGCTCTGCCTGAGTGCAGCAGCATGTCCTTTTTTAAATCCAAATCCTATTTGTCTGTGTTACTTTGAAAATATTCTTGGACATCAAATTGATAAGAACGAAGCCAAGATATTCCAAGTTAGAAACATTCAAGTCCACCAACAACATTGTTGAAAGCCTGGGCATAAAGAGATGTGCTCATAGTCCCCAGATTGTTTTATTTGAGAGCTGCATCATTACAGATCTCGTTTGTCATTTTCCAACTCAACTCTGTACTCCTTTGTGTGATGTTGGAAATGCATCTGCTTGTTGCTAAATAATAAATATTAATTTGAATTTACACCAAGCATAACATGTTGGTGAGTATAGATGTGCCAGAAGCTTTATAAACAATGGAGGAAGACTGTAACGTTTTTTTAAATTTTTTACAAATATGCAATAAATCTGTTAGAATTCTATCCTAAAATCCCACAACAGCAGCCTCATCATTCTCCATGCGTCTCACTGAAATGCAACAAAAACTAAATCAGCCGCACTTTAAATCTTTGAGCCTCCAGACCTGCAAATGCCTGGTGATAAACCAGCATAACGAGTATTTAACCTCTTCCCTGTATGAGTTGTCTGCTGGGGTTCTTTTAAATACGGCTTAGGTTGCCTGAATCTGCTCTCTTGCATTCAGGAGTCGATACCTTAATCTTTCTGCTGTGTGGTTATAGATTAGAGTTGTCACTCTCGGTCAAAAGCCAACTGTGGGTGAATTTCACATGTTGCAATACCCCACAAGGAATGATAAAAAAAATTTCCCCCCAAAATGATGCTTTAAAAATAAGAAATGACACAGTTTGCTTTCTTTACAGTATCCTCTTTAATTTTAATGCTTGACATTTTGTTTTCAACCATTTAAATGTAGAAGGAAGTGAAGCTTTTTTTTTTTTTTTACTTAATTTTGTTTTCTTATTTTGTTGTTGACTGAAATTGGAGTGTCTGGCTGAAAAAGATGAAGTGAAAGCACAGATCCTTGCCTGTGTTTCCAGGTGACAGCCATCACCACCAGTGCAGAACACTGTGAGCAGCAAATCATCTACAGCTGTCGCATGTCCCGACTGCTCAACACCCCAGGTAAGGGATGAAGATGGCATCTTAATTCACTGCAGACTCCAAAACAAGACGGCACACATGGAGGAAGCATGTTCTGTTTTCAATCACATATACGGTGCGATGGAGAGTTAATTGTACACACAAGAGTAAATAAAAGCCATAAAGCTGCTTTTATGTTTACTGGATTGTCTACTCCAGTGCCAAGAATGTCGAAAACTACATGCAAATGTTTCTTCAAAAAATAATGCACTCTCAGCTTGTTGATGTACAGCACCACCTACTCCTCTTTACTTCTGCAACTCAAACAGACCCCTGCAAAGGAGAGGAGTCCCAACTGGAATAATTTGGTTTACTTTTATTTACATTGGGTTTGACTGGATTCTCTTTACCACTCATGTGGTATATTCTGCAATAGGCCTAGTGGTTTCATATCAGTTTACTTTGGATTTGTAAAAACGTGTGTTTAATTGCTCCTTCCTAAGAGGTTTGACTTTGATCTGAGCTTCGTGTGCAGCAGCTCGGAATGTTTTCCACTAACACCCTTGATTAAACACCACTCTCATTTTTCACTATTAGAATAACAAGCTTGCAATCATTTTCTGACCTGTTTTCTTTTGGCTAAAACACACACTGCATTCCGTGCACACCCACACACATGCACTTTGCGTGCACAGAGCATGACCACAACGACCTACCTTTGAGGATAGCTTCGTAAAGAAAAAGCACTCCTAGCAATTAAAGAGAGCAAAAGCAGACAAAGAAGGTGCAGTAGATGAAACGATGGTGGATTTGTTAGGGTAATGTGTAGAAGCTTGTTTACTATGGTTGTGAGGTGAGAAACACTGGTAGGCAACCAGTAAGTGAGACATTGCAGCTCTTTGAGGATAGAAATTCCCACAAATTTCAATAGTGTTTAAAACTTTTAGGATTGGAGTAGGAGTGCTCTTTTTAGAAAAGGAATATTAGCTGAAGAGTCCTTACAAACATAGCGATTGCGTTTTGCGCTTGCTCATGCAATTGTGTCCATGGTTTTTGATTGACTGAAAGAAATAAAGGTGGTTTGTAATAGCCAGGTTTTAGTGCAGCAGACCAAAACTTTGCAATTAACTTCCATAGCAATGAAAGATGGTCCTTTCATCTACTAACGTAGCATGCACACACACACACACGCACACACACAAAGTCATACTCACTTAATATGTATTTATTTTTCTCTTTAAACCTAAAATACCAGCATGGGAACACACTCATGCCACCACACATAACCATGCAGCCAGGCAAACCTTCATTAACTAGCTTACTCCTAATTCACCACATGTAAAGTTAGGGAAATCCAATTACTCGTCTAAAATGACTGAGAAAGTAGGAGCAAGAAAAATCATTTACCCAAAAATATGCTTCATAAATGACCTGTCAGATTTCATCAAATTACACCGTCAACAGCATTTCCTTTGCGAACCACAAGCACGCATGTACACAATGGCAGATACACACTGGCTTCTCCACTACTTCCAGTTTCACTCCATTCCAGATCTCATCTATTAGCCGAGGACTGGCATTTTGAAGCCAAACGAACCATTAAATAGGAATTATATTGTGCCACCAGCACCCCTATTTTAAAAGCTAGAACAGTAATTGTTCTGAATGTTTGACCTCTTCTTAACCTCTGTCACTTATTTTGTCATTTTAACATTATTTTATCGCGTCTCTCATGTAAACACAGCCACCGTCAGCAGGCACGTTCTGTTCAGTATTCACTGATTCACAAGAGGGGAACCTGAAACTACCAGAGTGCTCTGTCCAGACGTGTGCACAGGCACACATATAGGAAAAAAAAATACACAACTTGGACACAGTAATATTTCATTTTTCTTTCCATCCTGCTTATTCCTTCTTCCATCTCATATTTTCCTCTTTCCACTCCTGCGTATATTCTACAGAATCCACATTTATCAATTTCCGCCCATCTCTCCCCTCCTCTGTAACTCATCTTTGCACTTTTCTGTATCCGTGTCTCCCCTCTCACGTTGCCTTCCTCCCTTTCTACAATTTCAGTTTTACATCTTGCATGTTTTTTGTTGTGCATATGATCGACATTCTGTCCCATCACATTGTTACTGTCTTTCTTAAAACTTTCTGAAAACACTTATTCTATTACCATTATTATAATCAGACAAATGGAGAAGAAAATACGTATGCATGTTGCTTGTTCTTTATCTACGCAAATTGCCATGGTCAAACCAAATGACTCTTGGGAGAAGTTGCCATAGTTTGTCAAAATAAAAGAAAATGCATCATAAACCAGTGCCTACACAAAAGAATATCAAACTTAAATGTTTCCTGTCTTCCCATTTCAATTAATGGCACCGCAAGAAATGTGTCTAAAGTGATTAAAAAATAATTCCTCTTGTATTGCACTGGCATTTTTGCACACTGATAAATGTAAAAAATCTTTGCATAAGCATCTATATAACATTTAATAGTTGTGATTGATGCATGGTGGCCCGATGACACAACTACTTGCTGCAGTTCTCCAAAACATGAGCTCTTCATACTCCTGTACATGTCTGCAAGAAAACATGAATCATTGCTATTTTTGTCACAGTTTCACTTACTTGAAAGACTCTTGTCTTATTCATTTTGAAGCATGTCTGAGAGAAATCAGCTTCTGTGTCTCATATATAATGTATTTAAACTATGGGGTGACAGGAAGTCTAGATTAGTGATCAGCAGTTCCTGCACATTTCAATAAGCAGAAAAAAAATGCAATGCTTAAAAAAAACTGTTGAGTCCAAATAATTGTTAGGGGTACAGTTAATTGGCACCAATGACATTGTGAGAAACAGTAGTTTCTGTTTTGTTTTTTTTTTGTTTTTTCTGACTCAAAAAATTTAGTTGAATTGAAAGATTAAATGAATGTTTTTTTTTCATTACTTTAATATGTATTTTCAGAAGAAAATATTTACTTTGCTCGTTGTCCTCTGAAGACCAGCCAGATAACTTTATGCAAGCGGAAACCTAAATAAACTTTCACTGAATTGTAGAAGGGAAATGCAGATTAAATTACAGACATCACAAACTGTGGACACACAGCCTTATGGAAGTTTTAACTTGTCAAAGCGCATGCTGTTTCTTTCTTTTCCAGCCTTTCCTTGAGGTGAATGATAGAAACATTTAAAGCATACAGGCTAATAGGGAAAAAGTATTTTTCCATCAAGTAAAGGAGCTTATTTATTCACTGAACTGTGTTTCATTGAGTGAAAAAATATGCAGGTCACAGTAAGCGCTAATATGCTGGTATTTTCCACTCGTAGAACAAAACACATCTCTCATCAAGTTGACAGCAAAAGAATGCCATTGGTATAAAAAGGGCTATTTATTTTATTACATTATATAATCCTGAATTATTTGCATGTTTTTTTTAGTTGTGAATAAATTAGTGACCAACAGAGAGAAAAGGGTTCTGGATACAACACTATTATACAGCAGATGGATGAAATTAGAGAAGATTTTCAAAAAGTGGACAATAAAGAACAGTTATAAAGTCACATATAACTATAACTTATGACTATCAATTTATGACTGATAGTCACATTCTGTGGCCAGAAACAGACTAAAGATCCTAAAATTATTTCCGTAATAAGTCCATTGTTTCACGTTAACTATGAGAATGTTTTATTCAAGCATTATATTTTGCCTTCGATTCAATATTTTCATACTTGCCGATGAATTAAACATACACCATCTAACCCACGTGTCAACTAGAGGGTTTGAAAACAATTTGACCTGGGTAAGTCGCAGCTCATGAATCCTGATTTAAAGTTTTCCCTGAACCAACTATGCACAGAATAGGAAAGGTTGAAAATTGGCCCTGGGTGCATATGATACAAACAAGGCGAACACAGGAGGAGATGAAAAAGAAACAAGGGTGACAAGAGATGAGAGATGAGTGTGGTTCAGGATAATGAGGCTGTGTGTATGTGTGGCTTTGTACCAGCCCATTCCTCTGTTACCTCTGCTCTCAATTATTGCCTCACAAGTAATAGTCAAGTAAACCGGTGCCATGTTCTGGCACACATATTCATTCAAATACTCGCATGTCTTGCGTTCAACCCTAATGACTTCACTTCCTCAGCACTGGTTAACCATCTGTTTATGTTTTTGTTTTTTTTCCCCCTCTCATCCGTGGTTTCTGATGTTCATCATTAACCTTTGCAAATGCAGCAGCAGCGGGACGCAATAGCTTCTCTCTCCTTCTCCTCTGGCTTTTAGTCTGGAGTTCTTCTTTCTGCAAATGCAACAAGTCCCGATAATGGTGCACCGCTGTGAAATAGGAACAAGGCTAGTTTGCGTTCAGCTGAATAACAAAAAAAAAAAGTTTTGTCACTCATTATGTTGAAAATTATGCATTCCCCAAACTTCTTTAGAGCTCAGTGAATTCTGCTGACTAATTCCTTGCGTGGTCTTTAAGTTTGGACACTTACTGAGGCTATTTCTTGACAGTCTCGCTGCTGTGGAGAAGTATTAACATTTTCAACAGCGACCATGTACTTGTACTCCATTTGTTTGAGATTATATCACTATTAACATCTTTTTAGATTCCATATTTTATACCATTCAGTTTTATTAGTCTATTGTGCCCCCACACAGAGCTATGTCTTTCATTACTCAACTAATGTTCTGGATACAGTGTCATTAATTTTAGAAAGAAGCCAGAGCCAGAAGCTAGAAGGAGCTGAGAGGGAACATGAACTAATATACTGAAAGACAAGAGAGAGGAAAGCTGTTACTCAGATCCTCAGGCATCTCTAATGCTATCCACTCCTCCCATCTTTCTCCCTCTTTTCCTTTCCTTACCCCCCATAGACAAGCTCCTAATTAACATTAAATTATTGTCTCACACTTGCTCTACTTTACATGTGGTGATGGGAATCAGTCCTCCTTCAAGGTTGCTGCAGCGTTTGAGCCAACACCTATATTCATTATGAGAAAAATGGACTTGTACATTTTTTTTACTACAT